CCTGGACCTTTTCCGAGTTGGCGTCGATTCCCCTCTCGTGTATAATGAATCCGAGGAATCTTCCCGAGCTGACGCCGAAAGCACATTTTGTCAGGTTGAGTCGCATGTCGTAACTTCGCAATGTAGCAAACGTCTCGGCTAAGTCTGCTAGGTGGGTAGCTGCTGTACGGCTTTTCACGATCATGTCATTAACATAGACCTCCATATTTTGTCCGATCTATCGGGCGAACATCTTGTTTACGGTTCTTTGATACGTGGCACCAGCATTCTTCAGCCCGAATGGCATGACCTTGTAAAAGTATACCCCCTGGTCGGTGAGGAAAGCCGTGTGCTCTTGGTCCTCGGGCGCCATCCTGTTCTGGTTGTAGCCGGAGAAGGCGTCCATAAATGAGAGGCGGGCATGCCCGACGGTCGCGTCGACCAACTGGTCGATCCTCGGGAGGGGGTAGCAGTCTTTCGGGCATACATGATTGAGATCGGTATAGTCAACGCACATCCTCCAGCTCCCATTAGATTTTCTCACGAGGACTACATTGGACAACCATCGCGGGTATTTGACTTCCTCTATGAAGCTCGCTGCCAAAAGTCGCTCCACCTCCTCGCGGACAGCTAGTTGTCGGTCAGGGGCCTCTACCTCACCGGGCGAGCATTGGGCGAAATGTTCAGGTGATGATGGGCAACCTTTGGGTCGATGCCTGTCATGTCAGCTGGCGACCAGGCGAAGACGTCGGCATTTTCCTATAGGAAGCCAACGAGCTGCTCCCTCTCCCGTTCATGGAGCTCCGACCCGATTTTTATCGTCTGATCTAGCCGACCCTCCATTAGGGGTAAGCTATCAGTGGACCCTAGTGGCTCAAGATTTCGGGTCGGTCCGGGCGCTTCCCGGCGGCGATAGGCCCGGGTCGTTGAATAACCGCCAATAGTACTCTGATGTTGCGACGGGGTGCTCAACTCGAGTTTCTTCATGCGGGGTGCGCTCCCCCGGAACCCCGATCAGGGGCGATCCCTCAGCTGTGGGTTCATTTGGGTCGATCTGGCGATCCCTCATGATGGTTGGTTGTTGGCCCGTTCATCCTATGCGACGTGTGACCGAGGGGTATGACGGGTAGGGTGGAAGACTCGGATGAGCGGATGGTGCCGAGGTGTAGGAATCATGTGGTTTGCGGTCGAGATATGTAGCTTGGGCGGGCAAGCCGCACAGAGATGGACTCGGGCAGATGCAGCCAAGGGACACGGCTCAGGCGGGCAAGCCGCGCAGAGGTGTACTTAGGCAGAGTGCAGCCGAGGGACACGGCTCAGGCGGGCAAGCCGCGTAGAGGTGGATTCGGGCAGACTACTACCGAGGGACACGGCTCAGGCCGGCAGACCGCGCAGAGGTGGACTCGGGCAGACTACTACCGAGGGAGACGGCTCAGGCGGGCAGGCCGCGCAGAGGTGGACTCGGGCAGAGTGCAACCGAGGG